TAGCGTGCTTTTTATTCGTCAACAAGAAGTTTTTTTACATTTAAAGTTAAGGGCTATTTTTTTTTACCCCGGAAGGCAAACCACCAAAATCAGTGGGACAAATGTCGGGGGACATTTGCCAGAATTTTATTAGAAGTAAGCGAAGTACGTAAAGAGATGGGGACCAAACAAAAACCTCCCTTCAGAGGCATTCCTCTGAAAAAACACAATAGAGAGAGGGGTGCCAAACCAAAACCTCCCTAAAGACCAGTTTTACACTTACAACTAAAGAAATTTAAAAGAGGGAATTCCATACATATCCATATAATAGGCCCGATTTGTCAAGATTGGAAGATCCATTGGCCTGAAAAAAATTCTAAGCTGGGCCGATTTGAGATCAGCAAGATGATGGGCAACCACATTTCCTTCCCGCAGTATATGTCCAAAAGAAATAGCTTGGTTGCCTAAATCGAGCAAGGTTTGCTTAATCTCAGTTCTCCATCTTCTCGCATCTACTCCCAATATAATCGAAACCGCTTTCTTGGAATAGACTCAAGTTGACGAATGGAGTAACCTGCTCATATCTTAGTTCGGGTTTTAGCAATATCTCCTTTGCTTTTGTTAGGAACACGGTTGCTGAAGAGATGGTTAGAGCGGCGAGTTCTATGTCTGATAGCTGGGTTTGGTTTTTTGAGGCTCCTAGTTGTATTTCGAATGCTTTGACTTTTGATTTTTTTTAATCATCAAACCAACCACTTATATTAATATCAATAGGAATCGGATCGTTACAATAAACTCAGATAGATCAACATTGACAACAACTATCCCTAACCAACTAGCACTATCAACCTTACGGCTAGACTCAGAGACGATCACTCCTGAAAGAGCAATACGAATCGCTAACCACCAAGCGGGTGTGACAATGCAATCATTGGCCATATAGATCCTTGTAGCGATAATTAAAGAACTAAAAAACCTAGCAGAATTGACAATCATTATTGAAGAACTTAACTTAAAGACAACAACAAAAAGAGAGAAATGTAAACAAACATAACGAGAAAATAAGACCATAATAAATAAAATAACTGTACACCCAAACTCCTTCCTGCCAGTTTTCTTGAAACATCATCTTCCAAGCCCTGATACCTCGATCTCTCCAAGGCGGCGGTTCAGGAGGGGGGGATACATAAATCCATCTTCTCCCTTGTTCAACCCTTTACCGCTCTCCATCTGCTCGTCGCCCGTGCCGCCTCCTAATATGTCTTTGCCTGTGAAAATCTCCGGATTGGTGGCATTGATCCACGAACTCCTCCATTGGATTAACGCAGAAAGCTTCTACACTCGCTGTCTCTTCACTCTTGTATATCACACTTTTCCTTGCGCTAATAATCGTCGATGCACAAGAAGAGAAAAACAACACCCACACGATCGGCGACGATCGGCGGGAAAAACAAAACCCTACGTAAACGGACACGGCCACACAAAATCAGTTAATAATAAGAACGGTTGCTCTCAAGCGGTTGTGGGCACATACGCCGCATGTGCATTCCTCGGAGGGTCATGCGCATGTATGCGGTATTGATATGCACTAATTAGTAGTGCATAAATGCATCTTTTTACGTTTGATTTGTGTGGATTGTTTACCATTTTATTTAGTTTGTAAACATTTGTGTGTTTTTAGTTGTAATTGTATTTTAGTTCTCATTTGTAAGTTGTAAATTAGAGTTAGGATTTATGGTGTTGGAAAGGAAGACTTTGAAGTGAAGAAAAATGATTATTGGCTGCTTAGGACAATCACCCGGTCGGGTGAGGTTTTGCACCCGGTCGGGTGAGACTTTGAAAAGCGAAGGTGGCTGGAAACTACAATCACCCGGTCGGGTGAGGTATATCACCCGGTCGGGTCAGATGTGACCCGAGACAAAACGACGTGCTGAAACACAAGAACGTGGAAGATTATTTGATTTTGACATGCACCCGGTCGGGTGGGCACTTGACCCGGTCGGGTACCCGGCCCAAGGTGTTGAAAAACACCTATAAATAGCACACTTTTCCTTCACAAATAATCACTCCTTCTTCCATACTCTTAAGCTCAGTTTAGAATAGTATTTCTTTTATATTTTTATAGCATGTTTAGTCTCCATTTCTTGGTGTTGCTCTTGAAGCTTGTTGATTATTAAAGTTGTGAGTTATTTTCTTAACTTCTTCCCTTGAATATTAATTATTCTCTTAATCTATCTATATATTAATGTTGGGGAGTGTTGCTAAGATGACAATTAGTTAGCATCTCGACATTAGTTATAGTAGTATTTATTTTCTTCCTCTATATATTAATGTTGGGGAGTGTTGCTAAGATGACAATTAGATAACATCTTGACATTAGTTATAGTAGGATTATTCATATTTAATCTTCTTCCTTGAATATTAATTCTTCCCTTAATCTATCTCTATATTAATGTTGGGGAGTGTTGCTAAGATGACAATTAGTTAACATCTCGACATTAATTACTACTAGAAACGATCAACGAACCGATGGTTAATCGTTGATGGTTTCACAAGTAAGTAACTTCGGTTTATTAATGCACGGTCGTGGTTAATAAACTTAAGAGGGATTAATTTTGTTGGTTAAACCGAAACCGTTGTGTTGAGGTTATCAATCTCATTTGATTTCATCAAGGAGTTAAGAGATTAAATGCTACTATCAAGTCGGTATATGGCGGTGTTCTATACTTGACTAATAGTAAGGGTTATTAATGAACGGTCGTTGTTAATAACTACTCTCGATGAATTGGATATACTCCTCGATTGAGTATTTGAGAGGGGATAACTTATAGATATAACAATGATCGACTAAAATATATCAACAAGTGGAAAGTAGCAATGCCAAGTCTTTTTTATCTTTGAATTAAATCACATATAACTCGTTCATCTTCGTGTTTAAATTTAATTAAATCACTCAATCCCAAACCCCCCCTTATTTACTAGCTTTACTAAAAAGAGAATTATTCCTTTCCCCGTGGATACGAACTCTACTACGCTATACTACGTATTAGTGCTAGTATTGAATTTATTTTGACGCAACGTGACAAAGTGCACGTCAGGTATGCCGCTTGACTTTTGATTTTATTAAGAGAAAACTGTCAAATAAGCTCCCGTACTATATCAGAAAAGTCAATTAGGCCCTTGTACTTTGAAAACACCCAATTAAACTCCTGAACTTTTACAAATTGTTCAATTGAGGGTTTTTAGCAGGTCAAGAACCAGTTTCCGGTTAATTGCTCGCGTAGTGGCCACGTGGCAGGCCACATGACGGTCATTTTCTTTTGCCCTTATTTTTCTCTGTTTCTTTTTTTCTCTTTCCTTTTCTTCTCTGGTTTTTTGTCTCCTCACATCCGCATCTATCTTCCCAGGGACCTGACTTCCCCTTCGTCACTCCTCTTTCTTGTTTTTTGTTTTTCCTTTCCTTCTTTATTTTCTTTCTCTCTATGTTTCTTTGTTTCTGTTTTTCCCATTCGCATAGAGAAGAGAGTCTGCCATCGCCGGAGTTGCAGATAGAGTTCGTAGGAGATTATGGCAAGAACAGTCGTGTTTGCTCTGTACCTTCGATTTAGCGGAAGAGGCTTTCGTCAGTCTGGTCGGCAGTGACGTTTGAATCCTCATCTCTCCTCTGCTCTTCTGGCGACGCAGTGCAGCGATGTGCTCCGGCAAGTAGCACGGTTGGATTTCTTCGTCGTGGTATCAGGCGACAGCGGCGACTCCTACTCTTATCCGGCGAGAACAGCGACACGAACACAATCAATCTTTCCCCCTCTTGTTTGCGCAGAACAACTACAATATATACGGACGGCGAATTAACGGGTAGAGGGGAACCAGGAAAAAGAAAAGGAAATAGATATAAAAAAGGGAAAATAAAAAGGTGAAAAATAAAGAAAAAATAAATTAATTGCGATGTGGCCTGCCACGTGGCTGCCACGTGAGCAGTTAACTGGAAAACCGGTTCTTAACCTACTAAAAACCCTCAATTGAACGTTTTGTAGAAGTTCAGGGGTTTAATCGGGTGTTTTCAAAGTACAAGGATCTAATTGACTTTTCTGATATAATACGGGGGCTTATTTGAGAGTTTTCTCTTTATTAATGCTAATTAAGTTGATTCCCAAGAAAATAATCCTTAAAAAATACTCCCTACGGTTTTATTTAATTTTCACACTTTGACTTCACACAAAATAAGGAAAGAAATTTGACTTTAATGAAGAGTACACTGTTGAGGCACTGTTTGACACTGTTTGGCACTGTAGAGACACTGTTTGGCACTGTTGAGACACTGTTTGGCACTGTTTTGATGTAGATTTCTTTGCCAAAAAAGGAAATAAGGAAGTGTGAAGTTTATTTTAGACTTTCCAAAAAAAGAAAGTGTGAAGTTTATTAAAAAACGGAGGGCGTAGAAAATCAAATCTGAGACTCACCCTTCGAAGCATGGGCCGTGTACGATTGACCCACCCACCTAGGGGTGGACCGGTTCCGGTTCGGGCCCGGTTCGGGCCTGGGCCTGGTTCGGGCCTGGGCCCGGCCGGGCCTCGGTTCAGAAAAATGAGGCCCGAGCCCGAACCGGTGGTGGGCGGTTCCGGGTCCGGTTCCGGGCCATACCGGGCCGGGCCGAGCCACCCGGTTTTTTAATTTTTTTTTCTTCTTCTCTTATTTAACCCCCTACCCCTCCCTCTCCACCCCAAACCATCTCAAATGGTCCAAAATACCTAATCCAACCCAAAACTTAAAAAAATTTCCCAAAAAAAAAATTAAATTCCGGCCCGAACCGGGCCCGGCCCCGCCGGGCCGGTTCACTAAACTGGAGGCCCGGGCCCGGACCGCTATACCACTGGGCCGGGAGGCCCGAACCGGGCACGAACTGGTTCACCGGGCCGGTCTGGGCCCGCACAGTAGCGGGCCGGTCCGGTTCCGGGCCGGTTGGCCCGGCCCGAGTCCATCCCTACACCCACCCTAAGTCCCAGTTTTCATCCCATCCATCATTCGCCGTCTCCTCTAATACCCGGTTCAACTAAGCGTAGTAGAGAGCTAATCCGGCACCGGCACCGGCACCGGCACCGGCCTTTCGCTGCGATCGATTGTAAGATTAGTCCTGCTTTCATTTGTACTCCACGCCTCATTTACTGTGATGATGCGTTAAATGTGCGTAGTTTGGGGCCTGCCAGTGTTTTCGGCTCATGACATTAGAAGATACTCTTCTTCTTTTTCTTAAAAAACACAATATTTTTTCTTTTCTGGACAATGATACCATTTAACGACCGAGTTATGGTATTTTGATGCTAAATAAATTTGATATATTTAACTCTTCTAGTCTTCTCTACATTTTAATCCCTTATTTATGCAGTTTTGATTCATTTTATCTGTACAATTCACTTCGAATTTTTCTTCTTCTTCAACTACCTCATTCGTTTTAGTTATTTTTAGTGATTCAAACGAATTCAGTCTCCATTTTGATTAGTTTTTTTTGTTCTGTAATTGTGCGGGATGGGTCCTTATCAGCATTCAGTTTTATGAAAGACTGCCGTTTTAATTTTTGCTTGTATACGACGTTGCTACTTTAAAGAGTATAAAAAAGTGTTGGGACTATCCCAAACTTTTTCTTTTTATCCTTGAGAAATGTGAGGCTACTCGGTATTTTCACACTTAACCCTTCGTGGCTTGAAGGATATTTGTATATGTGTGTAAGAGCTGTACTATTATCAGAGAAATCAAAGAATTCTAAATTTTATTTCACTTTTTTAGGGCATACTACTGTACGTGAAGTATAAAGGCAAGGGCAGAAAAGATGTCAGGTATGAAACCACTTTGTTTATGGAATTAAATTGTATGGATGCATCTTAATCATTGGCCTGTGTTGTTGTTGTTGTCCTAAGCATGGACTAATATAATACTCCGTATGATGAACTTTTGTATGTTCAGAGTCTAGCTGTTCAGTTGTGACTTCGTATGTGTGTGTGTGTGTATATATATATATATACATACTATGTAGTAACTTTGAATTATGCAATTTAGGTAATGATGATAAACTTGCATTACTACTATTTTGGGGAGGCGATACGATACACCGTGGAGATCTCGGGTCAATAGATTATTCAGCGCCTCCCAAAAGACTGTGTTTCTTACGCCGCACTATTGGGCACGATGAGCTTGTGGCTAAAGTGCATGCTGAAATGAACACCAATGAAGAGAAGACTTGTCTTGCTTTGTTCGGAAGGTACCCTATGATGATTCCTGGGGATAAAGTTGTGTTTGTGTCTGTTCCACTCACTGACAATCAATCATGGGAATGGTTTTTGGAAGCAGCATTTCTTTGCCAGCCAGTGCATGTCTTCATTAATGCTTTCCCTCCTGCTGCTGCTGGTTCATGTTTCGGTCAAGGAGAGTTGGTTCTCAGGAACAACATTGGTCAGACAAATAGGGAGGAGGAGATGAAAAATGATGTCACAGTTTTGGATTTGGTTTCACAGGCATATGAGAAAGCTGTAATGGTGCATAGTTTCTGCGAAATCTTAGCAGACATTTGTCATAAACTAAATTACATCATCATGCCTCCTATTCTGTGTTCTTCGGGTGATGAGACATTTATTTTTAGTAAATTACTTATTAATCGCTGCCTGGAGGAATTCGAGAGGAGAGGTGTGGATAGATGCAAAAATGCTAGTCGAGATTATGCATCTCGAAATCAAAACTGGACGCTTAGGAGGAGAAAGCTCGGGAATATTAGACTAATTGGGGAATTACACAAGAAAAAGCTGATAAATGAAAGTACTATCCATAGATGCATTGTAAATTTGCTCGCTGGAGAGGCTGAGAAACCAGACGAAGATGATATTGAACTCCTTTACCACATGATGCGTACCTTTGGCGAATTCCTGGACCACCCCTCTGGATCTAAGAAAGAGCAAATGGATTCGTATTTTGAAGAGATGGTAAAGATGTCAAACCGCCAAGATTTGTCTTCTAGGCTGAAGGTGAAATTGGTTGATTTGGTTGGGTTGAGAAAGCGTAACTGGCAGAAGGAAACAGCTGGGGAGCTGGCGATGCAAATCTTTGTGAAGACAATGAGGGGTACAACGATTCCCCTTGAGGTTGAACCGTCAGAAACCATCTACAGGGTGAAGGAAAAGATTCAGGAAAGTGAAGGCATGCTGCCAGAGCAGCAACGCCTTGCCTTTTCTGGCAAGCTCATTGAGGACCACCTTACGCTTGCCGACTACAATGTCAAAAAGGAATCCACCATCCACCTTGTCCTCTGCCTCCGCGGTGGGGGCAGTGAAGAAGGGAGGCTGAGCTCCATATCTTGTGCAATTCACGGCAAACCGTTTTGATAGAAGGGTGTTCTCGAATTAGGCATTTCTTACTTGATGATTATGCCTTTAGTTTTGCTTTGGAAATGTTTCGTTCTCTTATGATGGATTTGCTATGTAAGTATGTGACTGACTGATGGTTGATTTTCATTTTTATAAATCGTAAAGAATGGGTTGATTTTCATACCACGTATCATTTTTCTATGAGTTGTGCTATAGGTACCCATTTTGGGTACCCATTTTAAGGTACCCCATTTTTACCCCACACTTTGTGTGGTCCAAATGAAGCCACATTTAAAGTGGAAATATCCCGTTAAGTCTACTTGTATGTGCAGCATATCATTTATGTCTCCGTTACTTTCTGTTTTCATTTATAAACTTTTCTCCTTTCAGTTTTATTTCTTTTATTTCACTTTTAGATTTGTTCAGCCAACCTCCTCTATCTATATTACCAAAAAAAAAAAACCTCCTCTATCTATTCGTACTTTCATCTCCCTTCACATCTAGCCTTATACCTCGCCGGACGAATGAAGACCGGGCTGGATGACGATTGAACGCACACCATCGTCTGTCCCTAGTGCTATTCCAACGGCGTCTCCCTGTCTTTCTAATCTCCCGGTGGATGTGGCTCCCAAACGGGTTCACCGATCTGTCGAAATTTGCCGTTCGAGATCCTTCCCAAATCACCGACTCCATATTCTACTTTTACAATCTGAGTCTATCATCAATTGATGGCCCTCTATATACGAATTTAAGATTTTTTTGAGTTAGTTTTGCTTCCCTCTTAAGGGATGAGATCGGCGACTTGGGGATGGAAGCTCCAGACCGGCGATTTCCATCAAATCGGAGTCTCCCTCTGAGAACATCATCTGAGCGTTTGGAGGACAACCGGGACACGCCATTGGAGCAGAGATTGGGGCAGCAATGGAGTTTTCAGCATCACGACAGGGATACTCCGTGGGTGCGTAGTCCAACTTTCAATAATCTGCATGTCCGGTTTTTCGTTCGGTACCGTCTAGGGCTGCGACCGTCCGGCGACTGGCGGTCTGTTTTGGAGAGCAGCAACCATAGACGGTTCTGGAATTCAAATCAATGCAACTCCACATGTGGATTTCTTAGTATCTATAAACCTGATCACTACTACCGCACTATTCTGACCTTTTTGCTGTAAAATAATAACCGGTGAGTTCCAAGCTTTTCTCTTGAATTTCATTGATTGTTTCTGTTCAAGTACTCTTCATTTCCACTTCTGGTTAGTTTGCTTCTGATTTGGCATCTAGAGGTGTTCCATCTGATTTTGGGAACAAATTTATTTATATTCATCAAACTTCTGATATTTTCAAGGATTAAATAATGTGTTTTATTTTAATATATTTTGCTATGTTAATGTACAATGTTGTAAAATCTGTAATTTGGCTCAACCTTATTTAGACATTTAATCAATTTGGGTGATAAATAAAATTCCTTCTTTGTTTGTTAATAGAGTATTTGCTATTTGCTATTACTTTGCCTTATTCAGAAGGATTAATACCTTATGTGTTTTTTAATCACACAATTCTCAAAATCAGGTTGCCTTTGTATTGTGATATCCACTTTTGAATGAAGGAATTCAATAAGAAATGGTTTGTGTACATCCACTCTTGAATATTCAAAAGTGCACATCCACTTTTGTACAAACATGCCCTCCTCATCTGAAGAACATATACCTGGGCAACCCAGGTTCTAACCTCAACTTGCAACTTGGCTTGGCCCTGGGCATTATCATTCTGAAGTGTTTTTTTTAATGAAACAAATAATATATTTTTTCCTTTACTTAAAAGATTGATATTTTGTAGGGAAGAAGTCCACCATCAACTGGTATGAAGAATAACAATGATTTCTCTTTGCTGAGGCACACTAACACTGGTCTCATTACGGGTGACATACCAGAGAAGAAAAGATAAAACAAAGGCAAATGATATGATCGATAAATGTAATAATTTGAAATGATTGATTGAATTGTACTGCATATTCTTTGTGAAACTATTACATATTTTTTTGTTTCCTTTTGTTGTATCACATGTGTTTCATTTTGTTTCATTTTGTTGCATCGTGTTTCATTTTGTTGCATCTTGTTTTTTGTTGCACATTGTTTCTTACTAGTTTTTTTGTTGTTTATTTAGATTTGTATTTGTTTTTCTACATCTGTAAAATAGAAATATCTATATATAGACAATATAAAAAAACATCAAAATGTTAAATATCAATTAATGAATATGAACAACAAGAAAAAAACAATGAAAAACAAGAATTTCAAAATTTTCAACAACAATAAACACAAAGAAACAATACAAAACAAAAACTAACATCAAAATGATAATCATACTTACTAAATTTTGTAACCTTATGAAAAGTATGGAGTCAAAAAATTCATCTTTTTAACTTTTCAAAATGTTTCAGGTTTAATTTTTTTACATTTAATTTCCATTTTTCATGTTTTTAATTCCGATCTCTTCAATTTTACAAGTTCTATAATTTAATTTAATTTCCATTTTTAAGAATTTATTTTCTTTTCTTATTTTATAAATTTATATATTTATTTGATTTTTTCATATTTAAACATTTATTTAAATTTCGTAGGTATCTTTTTGTGTTTTCCAGTTTTTAAAAAAATACTCTTTTCATTAAATCTTGAAATGCCTCTTATGGTTTTCTTATAATTTTAAAACTTTTTTATATTTTATTTTACATATTTTGTCTTTAACTTTTAGGCGTTTAGGTTTTAAAATGTCACACGCTTTTGAGCTTTGATTGGTTTTCTTACTTTTAATTTTTATGAATTTTATTTTCTATTTATATTTTACTTTAAATGCTCCTTACTTAATTTGAAATTTTTGAATATTTTCAATTTATATATTTATTTGAATTTTACAGATTTTTTATTTTGCATATATTCCAATTTTAAACAAGTAATCTTTCACGAATTCTCTAATTATGTTTCATAATTTTAATAGTTTCAGAACATTTTATTTTACATTTCATAGTTATTTTATAAATTTAACTTATAGGTTCAATCGGCATTTTTATTACAACTTTGTTTGAAATTTTTATTTTTGCTTTGAATTTTTCTTTACTTTCTTAATTAATTTTGTTTTAAGACTGATATTTTCTTTCCAATTATTTATATTTTTTTTTATGTTGATAAATATAAACATGTTTACAATTTATTCTATTTTAGAAAAAGAATACGTAGTAATTACTAGAACTTTATGAGTTCAATAACTAGCCCACTTGGAATATGGATATGCAGGTTCTCAAATCGGGAGCAAGGATACGGAACTTGGCGACCTCCGAACTCTGAAGGAGTGCATACTGAAGCATGGTCCATTTATGAAAGAAAACGCTTAAGTAGCCTAATTTTGAAAAAAACTTTAGACGGTGACAAAAGTGATATTATTTTCACTTTTCAATCTCTTTGTGAAAATTTCTCACATTTAATTGAGTTGCCCCACTTAAATGTATTGTCTCATTTGGGCCACACAATAGAGGAGAGTGAAAATGGGATACCTAAAAATGAGGGTACCTATAACATTTTTGTTTTTCTGTTCTTTCAAATGTGGGGAAACAAGAAAAAAAACATAAATCAAATGACATCAACCATAATTTAGGGCAAATTGAGAAGGATCCAATTAGATTGAAATTACTAGTAAGTCAAAAACAATTTACTGATGTCTATTTGGTTGCACTTATATTCGTAGAAGACAATTATATATACATAGCTTTTAGCTTATGGAACAGCATTCACATACTGACCGGTAGATATATAATCATGTTGGTGGACCCGGACCATGGTCTTGGACCGGTTGTTAGAGCATCTCCAATGTTACAATGTGCACAGTGCACACGTGGCATGAGAGAGATCGACACAAAAGATTGAATTTATGACATTTCTCTCTCATTTTTTCCACGGTTTTATGTGTTTTTGGTAAGTTTTCCTTTGTAATGTCAAGCACAATGTCTACATCTAGACATTGTGTTTGGCATTGTGAAGAAAAACTTATCAAAATGATTCAAGATCCTTCAAATAAGGAGAAAGATATTCTATTTATTATTTTTTAATTGGCTATCTCTCATGTCACGTATGCACCGTTCACGAATCAGCATTGAAGATGCTCTTAGTGGGGCTAGTTATACTGGTTTTGTGGTTTGGTTAGGAGACCGACTCTTGTTGTGATAGAGTCATAGAGACTGGTCGATCTGGTCCCGATATTGGAAACCTTTTAAAAGATAGGCAAATCCATTTAAAAATGTTTTAACTTGGATTGTAATTTACTGGTCTGGTCTGGTTTCTTTGTATTTTATAACTATCTAAGGCTTGTCTGGTTTCATCTGTTCTGATCTGGTCTGAGACGAATTACAGTCCAAGTAAAAACATCCTAAAAACTAAAAAAGAGTATGGACTATAGAGGGGATCATGAGTGTTTAAAAGTACGCTCTGCATTTAGAAAAGGGAAAATAATTTTAAATGATACCAACTACCACTTATGAACAACTAATAAACTCTGTGTATACTTTCGAAATGATTTCTAATAATATTAACTATTTGAATATATAACAAAAATATTATGGAGGCACTTTTCAATAAGAAATTCAGTCATTTACAACACAACATCAAAAACTAATTGAAAAGTTGTTATATATCATCGTTATTATATAGGGAAAGTTCCCGAAATAGGACTAAAAGAGTTTGAAAATTCCAAATTAGGACTGTCATGTTTTTTATTCCCAAATAGGAGCAATTACTGTCAAGTTTGAAAAATACCGCCATCTTTGAAGTCTGGTACTGTCAAAACATGACAGTAATTAGTCCTATTTTGGGAATAAAAACTTCGCAGTCCTCTTTTGGAATTTTCAAACCTTTTTAGTCCTATTTCGGGTAATATTCTCTATTAAATAATCAAATAGTTGGTATTATTAAATGTTATTTCCAAAGTTTATTTTATTTTTTGTTCATGAAAGATAATTTATACTATCCTCCATATCTCATTAGTTGCAACATTGGAATATATACACTATTCATGTACTTTACTTTGACTACATCATATTTGTTAATGCATGTGAATAATTTTTTTTGAAAAATATTGTTAAATTCGTCTCACTACTATGTTTTATAATCTGATTTTTATTTTATTTTTACTAATACGGGATTAAATATAATGACGATCAAAGTTGTGCGTTGGCAAACGTGAAAAAGGAAATGTTGGAACTAAAAACGAATGGAGAAAGTATTTTTTAAAATTATGTTCCCTTTAAAAAGGTATCATAACCGGAATAACTGATGTCATTCTCAATTCACGTACCCCACCCCACCCCCACGACCGGGATCGAATTGAGTCCATTCCTATATGAAAAAAAAAGGATGACACCCTATCCCTGAGGGCCCCCAACACCGACCAGACGACACGATGAGGGATGTAAATTGGACTATAATCACAATCTGACAGATAGAAAGTGGGGCTCTGTCCCCGGGTACTTGCAGAAGTCCTGTGCATGTTTCAGCATAGTAACCCCTCATCATAGTTGCTTGGATTCGAACCCGAGACCAAACCCTTGTGGCACTCCCTTGCTACCCGTTGAGCTACGCCCACCGTTACTCCATTCCTATATGCGACATATAGGTAGGGGTGAAACAGTTCGGTTCCAAGTTTGTTCAAATCGCCATACTAGGAACCAACATGGTTTCCCAGTTTTTTTAACAGGGGCATGGGGCCGAGACCTATTAAAAGAGGTATTGTCTAGTCCCTGGCAACTGGCTGGTTCAGGGCTGTGTCCGGTCCAAGTTTTATTTTTTTGTTTGTTATTAAAAATGTTTTCAAATACAAGACTAAAATATTTATTATAAGCATAAAGATGTATGTATTAATATGTTAACATATACATTAAAGATATTTATTATAAGTATTAAAATAAATACAATTGCAACAACTAAATAAACACATCTAGAAATGTTATATATATAGGGATGAGTTCAAATGAGAAGACATCTTAACGTGTAAAATGAGAATTAATCTCAGCCGTCCAAAGCGTTGATCTGATGCACAATAATCCCTATTTGATGCACTTTCGAATAGACCTTATTTCATACACTTTTCGAAAAGTGCATCAAATAAGGCCTATTCGAAAGTGCATCAGATAAGGGTTATTGTGCATCAGATCAACGTTTTGGACGGCTGAGATTAATTCTCATTTTACACGTTAAGACTTTTTTTATTTGATCCAAATTATATATATATATATATAGAGAGAGAGAGAGGGAGGGAGGGAGGGAGGGAGGGAGGGAGGGAGGGAGAGAGGGAGGGAGGGAGGGAGAGAGAGAGAGAGAGAGAGAGAGAGAGAGAGAGAGAGAGAGAGAGAGAGAGAGAGAGAGAGAGAGAGAGAGAGAGAGAGAGAGAGAGAGAGAGAGAGAGAGAGAGAGAGAGAGAGCTCTTCTTGTCAGGCCCGGCCTGACGGGAACCTCCGTCCGGCCGAGCCCGTTTGGGCATCTTCCTGATTGATTTTTTTGATGAAATATTTTGAGCATGTGCTTCATCAAGTCTAGTTTATCCATACCAAATTTCAGCTAAAAATGCAATCGGGAAGACATTCAAATCATTTTTTGAAGTTGACTGCGTCAAAATATATATATATATATATATATATATATATATATATATATATATATATATATATATATATATATATATATAAACGCAGTCAACTTAAAAAACGATTTGAATGCCTTCCCGATCAAATTTTGAGCTGAAATTTAGTATGGACAAACTAGACTTGATGAGGAACATGCTCAAAAAAATTTCATCAAAAAATTCCATCGGGAAGATTGCCAAAAGGGCTCGGCCGGACGACTCTCCCGATCAGGCCGACCTGACATGATGATTTCTCTCTCTCTCTCTCTCTCTCTCTCTCTCTCTCTCTCTCTCTCTCTATATATATATATATATATATATATATATATATATATATATATATATATTTATAGAGGAATGTTCATGTCAGGCCGGCCTGACGGGCTGCTCCGTCCGGCCGAGCCCGTTTGGGCACCTTCCCGATGGAATTTTTTGATGAAAATTTTTGAGCATGTTCCTCATCAAGTCTAGTTTGTCCATACCAAATTTCAGCGCAAAATTCGATCGAGAAGGCATTCAAATCATTTTTTGAAGTTGACTGCAGTTTTATATGTATATTTTGACGCAGTCAACTTCAAAAAATGATTTGAATGCCTTCCCGATCGAATTTTGAGCTGAAATTTGGTATGGACAAACTAGACTTGATGGGGAACATGCTCAAAAAATTTCATCAAAAAATTCCACCGGGAAGGTGCCCAAATGGGCTCGGCCGGACGGAGCATCCCGTCAGGCCGGCCTGATGAGAAGAGCACTCTATATATATATATATATATATATATATATATATATAGAGTACTCTTCCGGTCAGGAATTCCTGACCGGAACCGCCGTCCGGACGGCGGTGTTTGGCCGCCTTCTGGGTGGAATTTTTCGATGAAATTTTTATGACATGTTCTTCATCAAGTCTAGTTTATCCACAAAAAATTTCAGCCAAAAACTCATTCGGGAAGGTCGTCAAATGATTTTTTCAAGTTAACTGGTCCGGAAAATACATATTCCGGACCAGTTAACTTTCAAAAATCATTTGACGACCTTCCCGATTGAGTTTTTGGCTGAATTTTTTTGTGGATAAACTAGACTTGATGGAGAACATGCCATAAAAATTTCATCAAAAAATTCCACAGGGAAGGCGGCCAAACGCCGCCGTCCGGACGGCGGTTCCTGTCCGGAATTCCGGACTTGAATAAAATTCTATATATATATATATATATATATATATATATATATATATATATATATATATATATATATATATATGAAAACTTCATGTCCAGCCGGCCTGACGGGAACCGCCGTCCGGCCGAGGACATTTCAGGCACTTCCCGATCGAATTTTTTGATGCAATTTTTTGAGCATATTCTTCATCAAGTCTAGTTTATCCATACCAAATTTCAACTCAAAATTCGATCGGGAAGGCATTCAAATCATTTTTTGAAGTTGACTGCGGTTTTATATGTATATATTTTGACGCAGTCAACTTCAAAAAATTATTTGAATGTCTTCCCGATCGCATTTTGAGCTGAAATTTGGTATGGATAAACTAGACTTGATTAAGAACATGCTCAAAAAAATTCATCAAAAAATTCGATCGGGAAGTGCCCGAAATTCTCTCGACCGGACGGCGGTTTCCGTGAGGCCGGCTGGACAAGAACGAGACTCTATATATATATTACATATTATTTTAGTATATTATTTTTTACATGAACACTATGTAGGATGTTTTAGTTTTATGCAATTCCATAGAAAATGAAAAACATATTATTGCTATTATATCAATTTATCGTTACAATATATTAAAAAAATTAAGTTATTATGTAAACAATTTAAATAACAGTTACTTTTGTAAAAGTAAAATGTCTGGCACCTTAGTCAAAGCTGCATACGTTTATACGGAGTATCATAAAGAAATCAAAGCCTATGTAATTTTTTTATTTTACTACACAATTATTAACATCAATAATAATGTAATTAACATCTTTTTTTAAGCCGGTGAGTAAACCACAAATATCAGTGGGGTAAATGTTGGGGAACATTTACCAGATTATTATAGAAATAAAAATCCAGTACAAGAATGAGAGGAGAGCTAGACCAAAGCCTCTCGGGAAAGGCATACCTTCCCGAAATAAAACAAAATAAAGCAACAAAAGACGGACTAAGTCCGCACCGGAAATTAATGAAAAAATCTGAGTGAAGGGAGTCCAAAAAGATCCATGAAGTATGAGTTCCTTGCATGGGCTGGAAAATCCTGGACCTGGGCATACGAAACTTCATGGGGCAATGTTTGATCCGCAAGACAATGGGCAACCCGGTTGGCTTCTCTCCAAGTGCTCGAATAGGAAACCCCATTTCTTTCAGACAGATCCAACAATTTCCTAATTTCAGTACCCCATCGATCTGCGCCTCCGTCGCTAATGTATTTCACCACCATAGCCGGACCCACTTCAACCTGGAGATCAGAAAAGTCGTGGCTAATCATTAATCACCCACGTTGTAGACCGGATTACAGAGAGAAGCTCAGCTTCAAGTGGAGACGACGCTTCAACTGGAAAGGCGGTTGCCAAGATCATCTGACCATCTTTGTTTCGAAAAATTGCACCACCACTTGCCGAAAGAGGTGAGTAACTCGCATCCGAATTCAATTTATATGATTTAGTTGGATTCTTCCATTTAACTGCTAGGATTAATGATCGGGCTAAACTTGCAAGTATACAAGTGCCGATATAGTAATAAAATACCGGTAAATACCGGGTCGATCCACAAGAAAATGGTTGATATTATAAAGTCGAGTATTGAAGGCAAAAGAATATAAATGGTATAGTTTTTCAGGAACTTTGTTCTTTGAGGTTGATTTAAACAAAAATGAGAATTACTAAGGCAATCGGGATTCACCTAAATGCTTTAATAGTTATTTAATAATAGTTCTTCCCCAATAATCATGAATACGATGTCGCTAATATATTCTCAACTCCGGTTAAGGCAGCGAGAGCGTGGTATTCGTTACGTGTAAGTCCCATTACGGCTTACGTTCATCTACTGAAACTCTCGTTGAATATCAAGACATCACACCCGTATCATATACAGGAGCGGAGCCAAGACACTGGGTCAAGCTGGGCCGGTACAAAGATTATTTTTGGAAAAAAAATTACACGAAATTTTTTAAACTAAAAATTTAGACATTTTTAAAATTTGGGCTGGGCGGGGGCCTAGGTTGGCCCTCTCCTAGCTACACCCATGCGTGTTCCATTGCATAAAATGATCTTTCTGTTGTTGCACTCAATGTCTGAAATTGCGCACTACGAAGTTGAGTTTTTTTTTCCAAGATGTATTGCGTAAACCTCAAAGTGCATTGAGGCGTAAGGCTAGAGCGTAAATCTTAATGCATGAAAATTTTTTATATAAAAATCTATAATCAATAAGAAATAAAAATTCCTTCAAAGTAACATACTTAATTACCAAACTAACAATAATGTCATAAAATTATGGAAATCTTAGTTGAAAATGTCATCGAAATTCTTTAATCTAAAATTCTAAGTTTTTTTATTTATGAATGCAAAAGAGAATTGCTAATAATATGAGTAAATAATTTGATATACGAAGTATTAATCTAATCCAAATTAAAGAATATATACGACTATACTTGACACAAAAATTCAAATATTATGAAAAAGTAACACTTCACTAATAATAAAGAAAAAAAGTTGAATATAAATAATTAAAAACACTGCCGGAAACATAAAAAAAACATAGTAAAATTCGTGGCAACCACTAATTTATTTCAAGCCTAAACAAACATTAAACCTAAATGAAATCCAGCTGGAATCCACTCAAAAGTCAAAAGGATTATCCGTATCTGTCTTGCTGCAATGCTTCTTTTGTTAAGATTAGCATTGGACCGTTTTTTGCACTGGACAAGAATGGATCTACACTTGGCCAGTATTTCTCTTGCACTGGACCAATTCAAAAAAAAATTAAAAACTAAATATATAATACAAAAATATTAAAAATTACCCTGGGCCATGGCCCAGCCAGGCCACCCCCTCCATCCGCCCCTGATCATGTAAGACCAAATATATTTCTATTCTCGGTGCTATATATGTTTATCCTTTAATGTTCATAGTTTAGACTTCAACGTTAATTGCAAGCATAAACTAAATTTAACATACTTCTATGTTGTACATCAAAGTCATAAACAATCAAAATATAAAGGATAAATCACAATTTATTGGTTTAGAACTTTTATCAAACACCTAGTGGGCAATGCCCACTAGGGGTGGGCGCGGTCCGGTCCGGTCCAATATTTGGCCGAACCTGTACCCGTACCGTTACTATTCAAACGGTTCGGTTCGGTTCGGTCTTAGACCTAAATCCGTTCGGTACGGTTTCATTTTGAAACGGGACGGTACCATGTCATACCAATACCAAACAATGCCACTTTTTTCAAGTGCTTAAGAGGGAATTAAAATTTATTCATCCTCCAAAAATCGACACAATTTATCAATTTTCATACTCATTTTATCCCAAATTGACATGCAAAGTCAATAATTTTTTTTTCAACCATGTTAAAGTTAAATTCTCTTTATTGATAATTGATTTATTTTTTAATAATTAAAATAAACATATTCAGAAACTACATTGAAATCTCTTCAAGGTTGCAAGCTCCAAATTAAATATAATTAAAAAGTGACATTCTAGTTAAGTGAATAAAATGAAACTATTTGACCAAGAAAAGTTAATTTTGCAAATCAATTTGGGATAAATGTAGTATTTTACATAATTAATAAATTTAAGATAAATTATAGTAGTACAAATATAAATAATTAAACCATACATCGGTACGATTCCAGGCTTCCTTTGAATTAGCAAAGACGGTGAAAGTGTGAAGACAGTAGTCAAAGTAAGGGTATAAATGTAAATTTAAATCATTGAATCATACTTCGGTCCGGTTCGGTCCGGTACCGGTTCTCATTTTATGAGAACCGGTCATGACATTGTTTAGAATCGGTACGGTTCGGTTCGGGACAAAAAATTGAGATCCGTTTCAAACCCCATTTTTCGGTCCGGTACCATATCGGTTCGGTTCGGTACCATGCCGGTTCGGTATTTTTGTCCGCCTCTAGTGGGCATAGATGTTCATCCCTAGCCTTAGCTAAGAAATTAGCCTCTAATGCTCATATTAATCACAATACAATATTGAAATGTAATGGAACATGAAATTACAAAGGAAATAATACCTAAACACCAATGATTTCGAAGGTTGGAGTTTCCTCCTCAAGAACTTGAAGAAAATTAGCAAGAACAAAATATAAAAGCTATGAATTAAAGTATGGAATGGAATGTTGATGTTTGATGAATTGAGGGCTTTATATAGGCTAAAGAATGACATCTTTTAGTCTATTCGAGCCCAACAATAATGTATAGAAGCAATATTTGATCACACTTGAGGAAGATGAAGTTTTCCCATCAAAAATAAGCTTGCACGTCGTTGTGTTTTAACAGAATTGGACCGACCCGACGCCGGTTTCAGACCTAACCGGCGCCGGTTCTTCTTTAACGCAAATAAAATCTAGAATTTTGACATACCCGGCGCCGGTTATAAGGGCAACCCGGCGCCGGTTAAGCTACTGGTTTGCCTTTTATGTGCGAAAATTAGCAAACCGGCGCCGGTTTCGTGCAATTCCGGCGCCGGTTTTGTCCTGAGATTTTGGAGGTGTTCCGCTACGAATTTGGACATGATTCCTTCACCAAAGTTGTAGCTAATGAAGTCTTCTATCCACCAAATCTTGAATGACGTGATTTTATTCATCCAATCAAAAGATATGGATAAAACACTGAGAGGTATGCATCCTGAAATCCCACCAGCAACATCTGACTTTATTGATCAATTGAGTCTTGTTCCTTTCATATTTTGGCGATCGAGTGATTTCGAGTTCTCTACAATAAGTTATACTCGAATTATGGGCAGAACGTCATCCTCTTGGTCCAAAAAGCTGCTCACCGCAATGTTTTATGCATTAGCTCTCATTCTGAAGGTATTTGTCTGATTTCTCTTCTTTTCTTCAAAAAATACTTATAAATACTTATGCTAAACACAAGTAAATATAACGGCTATCAATTAACGGCTGAGCTAGCCGGATTGCCGGAATGAAGTAGGAATAAACCCCTCTTCGTAAAGTATGTCCCCAATTTTGAGCATTTTAGCTGTGGAAAAACCTGATACCCACATTTGAGTATAGGATTTGATCTGATTAATGAAAGTCTCCTGAGAAGGAAGGGGGCCATTGAACCCCAAACCAGACCAGTATAAGCCTTCCATATATGCCAGCAAATTATACCGGGTAGACAATGCTTAAAAACATTATCTAATTTTTTAGAACCCGCTTTCAGCCACCATGCGAAAAGAACCTGTCTGATAGTAACTGTCTGGTAAAGATATGGAATTCCAAAGACTCCCATAAAGTAATCTCAAATTGGTTTAATCTTACTACAAGTGAGAAAAATGTGGTCCACCTTATTTCTGCTATTTCTGCATAATGGGCAAATTGATGGATTAAGCAGATAATGAAACTTGTGCATATTATCACTAATAGGCAGGATACCTTTTAACAATTTCCACTGAAAAAGTCTGATCTGTAAAGGCAATTTAGGATTCCATGCATGCTGGAAAGTGAATGTGCTAGGTAGTTCTTCATATGCTGATTTAATTAATAGAAAATCTACCATCAGTTTCTGGCTCCCAATATACATTGCCATCCAGAGTAACTCCACACAATGAGGTAGCCAGTCCATCAATTGAGCATATTCTTCGCCATATAGGAGAGTCGGTGATTTTAGGAAGCATGTTAGAGCCTCTAGGGTATCTAGCATTAATAAACTTTGCCCAAATAGAATTCACTGACTTCCATTTCCACCAAAGCTTTAATGTGAAAGCCTTTTCAATATCAGTGAGGCTTCTTATTCCCAGACCACCCTCATCTGTAGGAAAACAAAGGTGGGACCATCTAATCCAGTGATAATTTTGTCTAGAGTGTGATGAACTCCACAGAAAAGCAGCCATTTTCCTTTCTAAGATATTAATAATCTTCCTAGGCAGCCTGTCAGCAGCTATAACATGCAAGGGAATTGTATTGAGAACATGTTTGATCAGAATTAATCTACCCCCCATAGATAGATTTTTTTGTTTCCAGGTTGTCGGTTTGGCATCAAACTTTTTAAAACTGTTTTAAAATGTTTTAGTCCTATTTCGGGAACTTTCCCTTTTATTTACTACTCATATCTGAAATTAATAATTTTATATAATTCACATGTGTTAAATCTATTAATTAATCAATCATTCCTTCTATCAACAAATATAATATTGAAAAGTGTACAAATGTTGTTATTAGAAAAAATCGGTGCTAATTATCCAACCTTTAATTGATCTTCTAAACACAGTCTCTATCGTAATCTCAAAAAAATCTGACTTTTACCTAACATACGATGTTTTTTAATCCCAAACCTGTTGTATACAGATTGTAGCCAGTTGGTTGTGCGGAGTAAGTTTCTTTTTTCTTTTTTCTTTTTCTTTACAAAAAAACAAAACTTTCTCTCTCATTACTTTTCCATATATCTTCTTCCACGAGCACCAATCTATCTTGGACTTCCTACTTTCCACTTATTCTTCTTAATTCTTTCTACTGAGGAGAAAACAAAGGGAAATCATATGCCCTGTCCCACCACATCAGCAACACTAAAAAATATAAACACATACTTGAGAGCACGTGTACGAAGAAACACAAAGTAATGGAGTTAATAGTCCTAAATAGGACTAAACAAATCCTTAAATGCACAACTAGAACTATGTTTTTATCTTCCTGAAATACGACTAAAATATACCCTATCTACCTATGATACCCTTACCATAACTTAAGTGGATAATCACATTTTATTTGTAATAAACACAAAAAATAATAAAAAATAATTGTATTCATAAAAAATAGTAAAAATTATAAAAATTTTCTGAAATATTTCTAAAAAATACAAAAATAATAAAAATTATTTTTTTTCTAAAATAAAGACTTCCAAAATAAATAAGAAATAGATAAAACACCTTTAAAAATATAAAAGATGTGGGGGCCTCTCCCACAGTCTGGGCTACTGCCCAGCCAAGTTACATCGGTTCGGCAAAAAAATGCCATTTTGTGAAAAAACTGCCAGTTTTCACTGAAAATGTCATACATATGACATTTTTACTCTTTGAAAATGTCAAAATTTTCTCAAAAACTGCCATCAAAATGGTATTTCAGAAAAACTTTGGAATTTTTTCCGATGATCAGAGCTAGAGATGCTGGGAGATTGCTGAGGTGGCAGCATAGGCCAACATATTTTTTTAATATTTTTTTCTTTTTTATGTATTTTATTTTATTTTTTTAAGTTTTTTATTTTATAAATTTTTATGTTTAGATTTTTTTTATTAATTTTATTTGATATTAATTTCGTATTTTTTATTTTTTTACATTTTTATTTTAAATAACATTATGTTATTACTTTTATATTCTAATTATTAATGAAATATGAATTGTATTAAAACAAAGAAAGGGTAGAATTGGAAATTTAGTCCTATTTAGGGAATTTTTAAGTTATGGTCCTATTTTGGAAATTAAAGTTCCATGTAGTCCCATTTGAGGAATTCTCCCAAAGTAATATCCTAAAAACTCGTAATTGTCCTCTGCAATGCTCAACATCGCTCTGAAAGCGCTGTTGTAGCCAAACAATGAAAATTTTTTTTGCCTCTAAAATGAGGATTTATTTAAATCTCTAAAAAAACTCATGTCAAATTTGAAAATATAAAAACTTTATGCGCTCAATCATTGAATCATAAACCCTCCACAAAGAATCAGAATCGTAAATAGATATTTCAAGATTGGAGGTAAAAAAAAATGAAATTTGAAGAGTCAAACCTTTTTTTAATAGATTTCACAATGCCACAATTAACATCAACCAGTTTTGGGTGCAGACGGTTACCTAGATTTCTAGGTTTTGGTTTTCCGGCGGCGATTCATTCACTAGTGTCCGGCGGAGTGGCCTAGCACGTCTAGGATTGTCTGGGCTTTCAGGATTGGAGCTATGTTTTGTTCGCATCGAGGAACCTTTCCATAAGCTTCGTGATTGTACTTGGGTACTTGATTTGGCAGAGGGTAATTGGCTTCTTGATTCGGCACAGTGCAGGTAGCTCCGTGCAATTAAGAAGAAAAGGTGGACGTAGTTTAGGGCTTCCTAGCGTTGTTTTTTCAGCGAAGGCTTCATCCTTCTTGTCCGGCGGTTTGGCTAGTTAATCATGAGCATTTTGAGTTGGAACTGTAGTGGTTTGGGCAATTTGGCAACAATTCAAGGCATGACGGATATTGTGCAAAGTCATCGCCCGTCAATATTGTTCTTGATGGAAACAAAAGTGGGCTGCCAACGAGCGAAAGACCTCCTGCGGTCGCAAGGCTATTTTCACAGTTATGGTGCGGACATCGAGGGTCAAAGCGGGGGGATCGTGTTGGGCTGGAACGATGATTCGGAGATCATAGTGAACGGAGTGAAGGCCACATATATTGATGTTTCGGTCAAGCTAGCGCCCAATGAAGGTCCGTGGAGACTTACGTGTTTCTATGGACTTCCAGAGACTAGGAGAAGGTGAGAGTCATGGGCACTTCTGCGAGAGCAGGCAGACCGGCATCAAGGGCCATGGATGGTCATCGGCAACTTCAACGACATCTTGTACGGGGCGGAGAAGAAAGGGCGCATACCGCACTTGAATTAGAGATTAAGAGGCTTCCGTGACTGCATTGTTGCGAGTGGCTTAAGGGATTTTCCGTTTATGGGATACCAATGGACGTGGGAAAGAGGAAAGGGGACGTTGCATTGGGTCGAGGAAAAACTAGATCGTATTCTGGTTAATGATGAGTGGTGGAACAGATTCATGGCTGCCCAAGCTACTTCGGTGGAGGCTCCGGTAAGCGATCATATGGCATTGTGTATAACAGTAGTGCCTACGGTGCATGGAATAAGGGAAAAGAATTTTAAATTTGAGAATAATTGGTTGAAAGAAGAAGAATGTAGGACAGTTGTTGCTAGTAGATGGGGGCAGGTACTAATCTATCAGTGTTTGGAAAAATTTATTTTTGTGGTAAAGAATTGTTATGATGGGATACATGCAAAAAAGGGAATTTCGTCATCGGATTCTGGCATGTAAACGTAGACTAGCATGGCTTCGAGGCAGAAATGATAGACATGGCAGAATTTCTTAGAACGAGAGCCACGCTTTGTACCCTTATGGAGAAGGAGAATTTGTACGGGAAGCAAAGGGCTAAGGAATTTTGGCTGAAGGAAGGGGATATTAACTCCCGCTTTTTTCATAACGCGGTGAAACAAAGGCTGAGGAAAAATAAAATAATGGGTCTGAAGACGGAAGGAGGAGAATGGGTGACTAGCTGATCGTGGCCGAGTGGGTAGTACTGTGATTATTTCTCGCAGCTATTTCAGGCGCAGACTGAGGAGGGATCAACAGAGGATATCGTCTGTTCTGAATAGGATGCTTTTACGTCCTATAAGCCCGGAGGAGGTGAAGTCAGCGATTTTTTATATGCATCCCGAAAAAGCGCCAAGTTCAGACGCCATGAATCCGACATTTTTTCAGTCTTATTGGACATTGTGGGTCCCGAAGTATATCGCCACTCAGGTATTTTTGAGTCCGGTTTTCTATCAAAGGAGTTAAATATTACTAATTTAGTTTTAATTCCTAAGAAAGAGAAGCCGGTAAATTTGGGTGACTGGAGACCGATAGGCGTGTGCAATTTGGTTTATAATTTTTTTCTAAAGTACTGGCTAATCAGTTGAAGTGTATACTTGGAGACTTGATTGGTGAGAATCAGAGTGCTTTTATTACTGGCAGATCTATTGTAGATAATGTGGTAGTAGCTTTTGAAACAACATTATCTTAAAAGAAAATGTTTCGGAAAAGAAGGCTATGTGGCCATGAAGTTAGATATGAGTCAGGCCTATGACCAGGTTCATTGGGATTTACTGAAAGTGTGTTTGGAATCCTTGAGCTTTGATAGCAGGTGGGTGAACTTAGTCATGGAGTGTGACGACCTTCAGCTATTATATCCGATATGATAGGGATTTTTTAGGTCCTATTTTTATTAAACCCTAAACCCTAACAAAGAGTAATTATAGATTTATAGTCTCTTTATGTAAACGATCTGCACATCGTGTAGCTCATGCTTTACCCATGGACGTACAATTTCAGATGGAGGCTGGACCGGCTCGCAAGTCGCAACCCTTGGCACAACAAGAAGGCTGTCTATTTCTTATTACTTCCTCTATAAATGTCTTTTTCCCCCTTTAACAGTCCTAAAATAATTGTTTTTTAAGGATAAATAAATAATAATTGTTTTTTTCATTCTTGAAAAGAAATACACGTGATTCAAATCATTTCATCCTTTTTACTCATATCAGCATATCTTAAGCACAACCATTACGTCACAAACAAAACGCATCATGTACACCTTGTTATTACACAATCCTCAGTCTCCTCCTACTTTATATGTTATTATTACACTACCTCCAACACCATGATTCCATGAAACACCACTAAACTACTTGCCCCAAGTGCTTTAATGCATGCTCTCAGCAACATGTAGCAACAACAAAGATACAGGTATGTACACTTTTTATTGCCCGGCCAACAATTCGGGGAGGACCCAAAGAATTTGGGCTTGCTCCTATGATCCTCAATGCGATTAAATGCTACTAGTTCATATAGACATGCATGCAGGACTACAAGTATGTAGATACCTTGTATTCACTTTTGGCTCATTGTAGAGGTAGTATAATTTTGGGACCACTACAAAAACTCCAATCAAGGGTATTTTGGCAATGTCAATTTGAAAGATTGTTGTCGTGGTGCATCTGATTTTGTACTGCCTTCACAGCTGCTACTCTTGCTGCAGTTGCGGCTTTATTAGCAGTTCCTACTGCTCTTTTTACACTTTCATCCACCTTGCCCACGTTGTTGGCTTTTCCGGCTGCTCGGATGGCTTCCTAAGACCAACAAATGCGGATCGCAAACTTAATTAGAATACTCTAAGAAAATGACGCTCTGGCCAAAAAATGAGATGCATAAACTCAAAAGCAGTAGTTAGCGAACATATCATCACAAGGTAGAATAATCTGTAAAACAGACCACCTTCATCCCAATGCTTAGAAGTAGATCTGTACAATAAAGGGCAAGCCTGTTACGGCGGGTTTGGACAAATATCTTCACCCATGGGGTCGAGTTGGGCCTGTGACAATATATGGGCAAACTTAGGCTAGAGTGTAGGCCCATTCGAGCCAATAAGCTTCTGGCCCGGTGTGTGTTTGTATGTTTGTGTGTGCATGCATGCGTGTGTGGGAGCGTGAGTGGGTGTGTGTGCAAGTGTATGGGGAGCTTGTGCGCACGCGCGTGTTTGTTTTGATAAAAACTATTCGCCCCATGCTAACTGCAAACCTTCACTTTTTACTCACTTTGATGCAAGTTAAATTTGGTCTCTTGCACTTTTTGAAATTTGATCACGTCATGCGAGAAAAAAAATGTGGTGCCATCTTTTATTAATAAAGCACAGTTTTCTCTGACGTGAAAAAGTGCAGTGTAGAAACTATTTAGTGCAATAAATTAGGTAGAACGTGCAAACATTCACAGAGCATGGCAATGACGATGGTGCACGGGCTTTTATCCATGGCGATAGCGCAAATATGGCGTCGCCACGTGACAAAAATAAACTAAAAAAAACGAATTGTAGACACTACAATTGTATCGCCTAACCACCAAAACATGATCAAACAAGATGAATAACAACATTCTAACCAAAACATGTGAAGTTAAACATCCTATGTAGGATTGAAAGTCGAATTAAGGATTATAAATAGTAGGATCGTAACTCGGATAGTGATATCCTATGTGTGTGTGTGTATTCCTACAACATTTGTGTGTGTATAATTAAATATTAAATATAATTCATACATAATACCAAATATTTTAGGTACTTAATAACTTAAGATAATCTATTAATAATAAAATAGCTTATGTAATTCGTACATAATACCAAATAATATTAAACAAGTAATGTAGCATTCCAAATTCCAAAATTTTAATTATTCTCAATTCATATACTCCGTAATTCATAAACTGAATATACTTCAATTATAAGTTCTAGTGTTAAGTGTTTAACAAAATTCTAAGTTCTGTAAAAAAAAAATACCAAGTAACCAAAGTAACTTAAACAAACTTTAGGAGTAAACGTGTTGAATCGGCGTTTAGACTGCTGAGCACATTAAATAAAGAAAAAAATAAATCTTGAATGCGTAATCGTCGTTTGGACTTTGGAGCAATAAACGCGTCGTTGGGAAACACAGAGTCACTAACCTGTGTCGCTTGGGAGAAGGAAGTCGCCTACCGTCTGTTGGACTGCTGGAGCATCGTTTGCGGGAGGAAACGGGCGAACTACGACCGGAAACTACCGCACCAAAGTCGCTACGCAGAGAGTAGTCATGGCGATGGCACTCAAATGGCGATGGCGCCCAAATGGCATCGCCACTTGTAATTCATCGCCACGACCTATTTTCATGGCACGGGGGGGTGGTAAGCGCACCTCATGGCGCATGGCGCACGCGCCATCGACAACCATGGTTCTAGTGAAAACACATATTGAAATAAGAACTCTTTATAATGAAAACTTTTAATCTCAACCTTTCATTTTACTGAATTGTTGGTTAAGATGCATGTGGTGTTTTTTGTAATTATTCAAAATTCAAACGGGGTCTTTTTGTAATTATTGTAAAATATTACAAAATTGTCACCCCGTAGAAGGTTTTAATTGCCTGGTATGGTGCGATCCTTGATTTCCTCTTCTACTCTCATCTCGACCAGTATATTGATGGTGCAGCCAAGCCGCCTGAAACTGATGTCGCTGGCCATCTCCTCCGACATGCACTCATCCCCTCCCTAAGTTCAGAGTGTAAACCCCTGGTCGGTTCCGCCCTAATAGAATATAGAGACAGGGAAGAAGATCAGAATGAATTCATCTTATTGATAATGTGTGAGATTACAAGTATTTATACAATGCAGTAGTTTAACAGAATATACAAGCCGTTCTAACTAATTGTAACAGTAATGACAGTCTATTTAATACTGCTAACATTCCCCCTTCAAACTGAGGATGATTGTTTTGGAAAATCAATCACACTCAGTTTGTTTCTGAATTCAAGAAATGTAGATGCTGATAAGGGCTTGGTCAGAACATCTGCCACTTGTTGAGAAGCTGGAATGTGAAAAACTTCAAGTTGCTTAAGTGTGACTTTCTCCCGTACAAAGAAGAGGTCAAGCTCCATATGTTTGATGCGAGAGTGAAGTACAGGATTATGTGCAAGCTGAACTGTACCAAGGTTGTCACAATATATTCTGGGAGTTAGGAAAGGAATTTGAAGGTCTTTGAGCAGAAATTCAATCCATAAAATTTATGAAGTGGTGTCTGCAAGGCTTCTATATTCGGCTTCAGCTGAGGATCTGGCCACCCTCAGTTGTTTCCTACACCACTAAGAGAGTATGTTTGGTCTTAGGAAAATGCATGACCCTGATGTAGATTTCCTGTGTGTAGGGTCTGATGCCCCGTCAGCATCACAGCAGGCAGAAATGGAAAGAGGTGATGTGCATAGTGGAAGAGGTTTGATGACCAGTCCATGAGTGACAGTAGCAGATAGGTATCTCAATATGTGTTTCACAGCTTTCCAATGATCTTGTTGAGGATTAGCCATAAACTAGCATACTTTATTTACAGCATAGCTAAGTTCAGGCCTGGTTAAAGTAGCATACTGCAAAATGCCAACAACAGACCTGTAGTGAGAAGGATCAGGTAGATAATCAGTTCCTTCATTGGTAAGCTTGCAGCTACTGACCATGGGGTTTTTACTCCTTTGGAATCTGACATTCCAACCTTGTGCAAAACATCTCTAACATACTTTGCTTCAGATAATTGCAAGGAACCATCAGAAAGTTTTCTGACTTCAATTCCCAGAAAATAGTCAACATCTCCCAGATGCTTGAGAGAAAAAGAGGAATGCAGCTTATGAATGATTTGGTTGATGACAATAGGACTGTTTCCTATTACTAGGATATCATCCACATAGATTAAGATGTATATTTGAATGTCAGAAGTGAGATAGAGGAGTAATGAAGGATCAGACTTGCTTTGTTTAAAACCAGCATTATATAGTACTGAGGTAAGTTTATGAAACCATGCCCTGGGAGCCTGTTTGAGGCCATACAAAGACTTTTGTAATCTGCAAACAAGAGAGGTGTCCTGGGCTTGAAAACCAGGGGGTTGTGTCATGTATACTTCTTCCTCAAGATCCCCATTGAGAAAAGCATTATTAATGTCTAGTTGTTGGATGGACCAGTGATGAGAAACAGCTAGTGTAAGAAGAATTTGGATGGTAACAGGTTTGACAACTGGAGAAAATGTTTCTCCAAAGTCAAAATCAAGCCTTTGATGAAACCCCTTGGCAACCAACCTTGCTTTGAATTTATTCACAGTACCATCAGAATTTTCCTTTATTCTGAAAACCCATTTTGCGGCTTATGGCTTGCTTTCCTTCAGGAAGAGGAACTAATGATTAGGTTTTGTTTGCAATCAAAGCATCATATTCAGATTGCATTGCTGCAAGCCAGGGTGGAGAAGAAAGAGCCTGCTTTACTGATTTATGCTCAATATGAGCCAACAGTAAGGTGGGATTAAGTCTAGGTTTAACAATCCCAGATTTGGATCTGGTTTGCATGGGATGAGTATTATGTAATGGAATGGAGGGACTGGAAGAAAAAGAGGACACAACTGGTGTGGTGGAGGAACTGGAATGGTGAGTGTTAGTTTGATTGTTGACAGGAGGAGAAGAATTGTTGGTAGGGTTAAAGTTCTTTGAAGAGGAATTATTTTGAGAAGATGAGTCAGTTTGAGAAGAGGAAGGATGACTAGTGTTGTTAAGAGGAGTATGAGATGAAGAAGAGGAGGACATGGAGTTGGAAACAGATTGGATTGGAGTAACACCATTGTCAGATGGTGTAGAGGAAGAGGAAAAGGAAAGTGGGGCAGAAAAAGTTATAGGAAAAGATGATGGAATTTGTGCAGTTTGAGAGGTATTGTTTTTGGAGGGAAAGAGGGTTGAATAAGGAAATGTTGTTTCATTGAAAGCAACATCCCTGGATATGTATATCCTACCGCATGGAGAGAGGCATTTATAGCCCTTATGATGAGAAGACTATCCCAGAAATACACACTCCTTGGAGTGGAAGTCAAATTTGTGTCTATTATAAGGCCTTATGAAGGGATAACATGAGCACCCAAAAACTTTAAGAAATGAATAATCAGGAATGGTGCCATGTAGTTTAAAATATTGACTAAGATTGGCAATAGATTTGGAGGGTAGTCTGTTTGTTAGATGTACAGCTGTGGCAAAAGCAGTGTCCCAGAACTTTAAAGGGATGGATGAATGAGCTAAGAGGCATAAGCCTTTTTCAACAATGGTGCGATGTTTCCTCTCAACCACACCATTTTGATGGTGTGTGTGAGGACAGATTAACCTGTGTGTGATACCTTTTTCATTAAGGAATGATGTAAATGATCTGAACTCACCACCCCAGTCAGATTGAAGTGATTTAATAGAGGCATGAAACTGAGTAGAAACGTATTGGTGAAAATTTTGAAATGCTAAGAGTGCATCAGATTTCTTTTTAAGAAAGTAGATCCATGTATATCTAGTGAATGCATCAATAAATGACAACCATCATAAGATTGGATAGGTGCAGGGCCCCACAAGTCAGTGAAAACTAGTTCAAAAGGAGTATGGTAGATAGTAGTAGAAGGATAAGAGGGAAGTCTGTGTGCTTTCCCTAAGCAACATGCAGAACAGAAATCAAAATCATTTTTATTTATCATAGAAACATTACACAGATTCAGTACAGTTTTGAGAACCTCTAAGTGAGGATGGCCTAGCCTTAAGTGCCAAATATTACAAGAATCATGTGAAACAGATTTATTACAAGAGGAAATGAGAGAACTAGGGCCAACAGAATTAGCTGGGTTGACTTGAGATGTTTTAGCAGATAACTTGTGAGACCAAGAGCTGGAAATGATTGGAATTGTATAGACCATCTGAGCCAAGTTTGCCATAGAGAAGAATCTGTTTAGAAACCTGGGATTTAACAAAACATTCATGGGGATGAAATTCAAAAAAATGCATTGTTATCTTTGGCAAACTTACTGACACTGACCAGATTTTTAGTTATTGCAGGAACATGTAGGATATTGTTAAGAGATAATGAAAGAGATGAATGGTAAGGGGATGGAAAGGATGAAAAACCAACAGACTTAATTTCCAGACCTTGACCGTTGCCCATAAAGAGCTTATCAGTAGTAGCAATAGGCTCACTGTGCTGCAGGTTGAGTGGATTAGGAGTGACATGGTGAGTAGCCCGTGAATCTGGGAACCAATTCTGATTACTAGGTGCTGGTCCTAGTATGGAAGAGTTAGCACAAGCCCAAGCTGCAGTTGGGACAGTGGGATTAGAGGTAGGAGTTGATGTGTAGGGGTAAGAAGCTGCAGTTGGTCCCCAAGTAAATTGTGGAGCAGAAACATTGGATGAGTATCTTGGTGTGACAAGGTTATGAAAGTTAACTGGTTGGTTAGGTATAGAAGGGAAATGATGTTGAGGCTGAGGAAATTGGTTCTAAGGCTGAGGAAAGTGATTCTGAGTCTGAGGAAATTGATGTGAATAGGGGTAAGATTGGTTCTGATTGAGGATTGGGCTGGATTTGAAGCACAATAGGCTGGATTGTATCTGTGATAACATATGAGTGCATTGTGACCATTCTTGCCACAAACTTGACAGGTAACAGGGTTACGACCACCAGTCCGAGCACCTCTGCCTCTTGAAAAACCACCTCTACCTCTACCTGCTACCTCTGTAGGAGGAAGAGCCACCTGAGTCATCAAATTGAGCCACTTGGGCTGAAGCATCAACAGAAGAGTTTTGTGATTCATCATCAATGTTTTGTAAGGAGCTGTCAACTCGTGCAACATTGGCAGAGAATAAAGTTTGTTGAGACGAGCCACGAAGTTTCTTCAGACGCAATTCTTTTGCCAGCAAAAGAGATTCAAGATCAGATACAGTAATTGGATCCAATGTACTTCGAGAAGAGATAGAAGATACGAGTGACTCGTATTCATCAGGTAGACCTTCAAGGATCACATCGATGTGTTCCTTAGTAGATATGAATTCTCCAACAAGAATTAGGTTATCTATAATAGTCTGAATTCGAAGTGGATAATCAGAAATTGAACGATCACCTTTTCCAGTATTGTATAATTCGGATTTCAGTTGACGAGTCCTAGCAACGACATTCGAACAAAAAAATTCCTGAATTTCATTCCACAACTGATGCGAATGCTTGCAATGAATGACACTGGCGTGAAGAGAATCAGAAAGTGACGCTAGTAGCCAAGAAAACAGCATCTGATCTTGTTGCTCCCTGGTACTGTAAGCTTCATTGGCGATCTTCGATCCATCATCGCCAACAGCAAACCGTTATGGTATTTTAGGTTTGTCGATGAATTGAAGAAGTTTGTGTGCTCGTATCACAGATTGAACATGATGCTCCAGAGCAGGAAGTTATTCGAATCGAGTTTGATTGGTAGCGGATGATGAAAGATTACTGGAAAATTTTGAGAGGATTGAGAGGAAGATGAATCGGAAGTAGAGTTCGTCATGGTTGGAACGAGCGATGCTCTGATACCATAATAGAATATAGAGACTGGGAAGAAGATCAGAATGAATTCATCTTATTGATAATGTGTGAGATTACAAGTATTTATACAATGCAGTAGTTTAACAGAATATACAAGCCGTTCTAACTAACTATAACAGTAATGACAGTCTATTTAATACTGCTAACACGCCCGCACATCTGCAGCAATATGGAAGACCCCTGA